CTTGTTGATTCGTGTAGGGCCGGATCCAAGCAGAAAGGAAGAGCTGAATACCTGAAACTGTTGGGTAAAGCAGGAGCTTCGCTTCCGGAGATGGTACCAGCGACGTGTAGGCGATGAACATCATCAAGCCCACATCAACTCGCTTGGCTATCACGTCCCACCACCAGTAAGACGGCTCATAGCCTTGGAGAAAAAAACCGTATCTTCTATAGTTTTCTGGGGCATGCCTGTCCATGAAGAACAGGCGTGCCGCCAGTACAGTTGGAACCCCAACGCACCAGACAAGCAGGCCTACAATGGCCACGCTTGCAGCCGGGACGTGTGTGGGTTCCCAGCACTCGATGTCAGGGCTGGGGAGCAAGCGGTATGTGAAGCTGACACCGTCATTGCCCTCTTGTGGGATGGGCACGCACCATAATAGGCGCAGGAAAGCAGCCATTAGAACGGGCCACAGAGAGATGAGGCCAATCCATATGATAGGCATGCTCTGCTGCACGAAGGAGAACAAGTCTGGCGTCGACTCAAAGAGACCAAAGTCCAGCGAGTCCATTGTAGCATCCACATGCAGGATATGATCCTCCTCGGTGATTTCGGCTTTCTGCCTGCGAAACAAGGCACGCAACAGTCTGAACAAAGTCAGAGCGCTGCAACACAAAGCGTAGGACCGCGGCCTCGCAGCCACGTGCGTCTCCCCCTCAAGGTTGGTGGCACGTTCGGCAACAGTCTGCTGGACCGCTATGCCTGGCTGTTCGCGCCTCTTGGCGACCTCATTGGCTTCACTTCACTTATGTCACGTCGGTATACTTTGTGTCAGAACTTCACGTCGCTTCACTACTCACTAATTACGTCTTTTCAGTTCATCCTGCTTCCATGCACCTACAAAAGATGTGGCACGTCATCTAACATAGTACGATGTGCTAAACACCAATGCGGAACCTACAGACCCCACCTCATTGAAGTGGAAGCCGCATCGCGTCGCGATAGGCACCAGGAGGTATACGGTGGCGGAGGAAAGCAGTAGAATACCAAGGATGAGCAGAAGCGGCAAGCAAAGGTAGTAGATGCCCAAGGCAGTCGTTGGAGCAGCTGGCTCAGCGAACAGCTCCTGCGCATGAGCTCCTACAACTCACTCCAATGATTCACGGCTTGGTGCAGCTTGTTCAGTGATAAGCTATGGCTGTGCACCTGGGCGGATCATGATGTACTCCGTTACGATTTTTACGCTCCTGCGCAAAGCATTGGACTCCAAAGTTCACGGAGAGCAAAGGCTGGGAAAATGACAAAATGTCAAACACCTCAGTTGCTTGCCAGGAAATGAAATCATAATCTTCTTAGTTATCGAAGGCGCAGTACATGGGAATCAAAAACCTTAGACCCCACACTCGATGCCACTGCCACTGCTACTACAAACTACTACCTCCGACTGCTCATACTACTAACACCACCACCACTACTACTACTTCTTCTACTTCTACCACTACCACGACGAGGACCACTACTGGTACTACCAGTACTACTAGTACTACTAGTACTACTAGTACTACTAGTACTACTAGGTACTACTAGTACTACTAGGTACTACTAGTACTACTAGGTACTACTAGTACTACTAGGTACTACTAGTACTACTAGTACTACTAGTACTACTAGTACTACTAGTACTACTAGTACTACTAGTACTACTAGTACTACTAGTACTACCAGCACTACTACCACTACTACCACTACTACCACTACTACTACTACTGCTACTACTACTAGTACTACCACTACTACTACTACTACTACTACTACTACTACTACTACTACTACTACTACTACGACTACTACGACTACGACTACGACTACGACTACTACTACTACTACTACTACTACTGCTACTATTACTACTACTAACAACAACAACAACCACGACGACGACAACGACGACGACGATGACGACGACGACCACAATCACCACCACCACCACCGCCACAACAACAGCATCAACAACAACAGCAACAACACCAACAACACCAACAACATCAACAACATCAGCAAAAACATCGTCAACAACAGCAACCACTACAACTACAACTACAACACCGATGTCAACATGAACATCAGCAACAAACAGAAACACCATCACCATCAACAAGAAGAACAACAACTACTACTACGACTACTGCTACTACTGCTACTGCCACTCCTACTACTGCAACTACTCCTGCTACGGATACGGCTGCGGCTACTGCTACTGCCACTGCCACTACCACTACCACTACTACTACATCTACAACTACAACTACAACTACAGCTACAACTACTACTACAACTACAACTACTACTACTACTACTACTACTACTACTACTACTACTACTGCTACTGCTACTGCTACTGCTACTGCTACTGCTACTGCTACTGCTACGACTACTACTGCTACGACTACTACTGCTACGACTACTACTATGCTACTGCTTCTGCTACTGCTGCTGACTGCAACTGTGACTACTACTAGTACTTCCTCAACTACTACTTCTACTACTACTGCTACCACCACTACCACTACCACTACCGCTACCGCTACCACTACCACTACCACTACCACTACCACTACCACTACCACTACCACTACCACTACCACTACTACTACTACTACTACTACTACTACTACTACTACTACTACTACTATTACTACTACTACTACTACTACTACTCCTACTACTACTACTACTACTACTACTACGACCACCACGGCTACTACTTCTACTTCTACGATTATGACTACGACTGCGACATCGACTGTTGCTGCTACTGCTGCTGCTGCTGCTACTACTACTACTACGACTACTACTACGACGACTTTCACTGCTACATATGAAGAGCAATCCTAGGCACGCCGCCCATTGCCAAACTGACCTCTTGCGGCCATGCCAGGCGTGGCGCGAAGGCCTGTTTCTGGTGTTCTGAGAAACTGACAGGGGGCAGCAGAGTAGAGCACAATAACATGGCAGCAGGCGTATAACTGAACGCAAGGGTCTGACTAGTCTGCTTCGCCCCCGGCCCCATTATGCATAGCTTTGTTTTCAGACCCCCCCACCCCCCCCCACTCCCTTTCTTTTGGGGGTCGCCTCATTCTGTGCAATTTTGCTTATCCAGAACCGCGGCATGACTACTGCCACCTATTTCTGTAAATACGAGTAGAAGTGACACTCTTACTAACACTAATACTAGTACTAACTCTAATCCTCTGGATGGCCCCGAGGCCACAAGTGTCGGGTTCCGGGCGAACCGCTTATGCGGAGAGCCCAACCATTCGATTCTCCCAAGGGCTATCCCCAGCAGGCCTACAAAAACCCAATGATGAAAGGACTTGGAGGCCCCCAATAGGGCTAAGCTTGCGGGCTCGCAAAGGCCTGAAGCCTTCAGGGGCCCGAAACCTTTTATGCAAAGGAAGCACTCTGTGGATGGCCCTGATCATATAACTCATGTCAAGAGTATCCTCATCCAAATACACCATGTAAAATGAGATGAAGATAACAGCTTGCGATCTCGAAATAAAAGAAAGTGCGAAGGTGCGGGCCTGGTTCGGCTCAGAGTCTGCGAGAAGAGAGCGCACACCATCTAAGTCAAAGATCAAAAGGACAGAGCAAGCGGCGACCCACTGGCTGGCCATCCGTAGCCTGGCCCGGTAACGGTATAGTCGAGTCTAGTAGTTGTCGCAGGAATAGTAGTATGCTAAGAAGAAAGAATACAATGGGGCTCACGCTGGACTACGTCTTGTGCTATCAAGGGTACTATAATGACGGATTATGAGGGATAAATGGAAGCGAGCAGCATGCTGGTATGGAGCTTGCCGCTGCCCCGTATGGCAGCGGTGGCTGCCATGGAAGCCACGATGAAGGTGGTCGTGGCCTTCATCGAGACTCAAAGCTGGAAGGGCTTCATGGGGAATCTCAAGGAAAAAATGGTTGAGGCTGCTGGTTCCAGCCGGCTGCATTGTGTAAGTCGGTGGTTGGCGCTTTGCCTAATTATCTTTCGTAAATGACGCTGTTACCTCCTGCTACAAATATTGTATTGCCACTCTGTAAATAGTAAACTTCGTTGGGTTTCCTGCCTTCAGTGATACTTCAGCCACAATAGACGACGTCATCGAGAGCGTGGCCCCGGTGCAGGGAATGCAGGGCTGATGGAGGCCGTGTCTGCCCCAGCCAACAGGGCACTCGCCACACAGCATGCCTGTAGATCCAGGCGCGCAAAGATTGCCGCTGCAGTGCTCAAGGCTGTCGGACTTGCCGTGCTGGTCATCGTCTGAGCAAGTCACTCCACCGAGACAAGCGCTCAAGCCATCCTCCGCAACAACACTGCACTTGTAGGCTGTCAAGATGCCCGTCTGGTAGAAACCAGCTCGGGCGAGCGGCAGTGAGTGCAATTCCACGCCGTTCTCCTCGCGGAAGCCACCGTCGCAGCGGAAATGAGTCAGGCCAGCGCAACTGGCACATCTGGAAAGCCTGCCTTCGGAATCAAGCTCTGCATAATAACCTTCTGTACATGAGCAGTTTGCCAGGCCTGTGGATCCCTCCTTGCTAAGGCTGTTTGATGGACACTCACCATTGCAGAAGTCTGCGTTGCCACTGTCTTGCTTGAACTTTCCTGGTGGGCAAGGATCGCACGTAATCTGGTTCTTGAAAAGGCCTGGCCCACAAAGACAGTCCTCAGGAGACGTTGACCTCGTGCTTGAGGTAGCACCCTCCAGACATGGCAACTCAACACCTGTGCCATTGCAAAAGAAACCGGGTCGGCAGTCCACACAACCTTCCCCATCTTGGGTGAGGCCTGCTCTGCAAAGGCATTCTGTCAAAGATCTAGTCTCCGTTCGCAGGGTGGACCGGTCACCCGGGCAAGTTGAACACAGCATGTTGCCGCCAGCAGATTTGAAAGACCTGCTAGACCCCGAACTAAAAAACATGCCCAGAGTCCGGGAAAAACAAAATGCGAAGATACAAACACGTTTGTACCGATGTTTGAGAGCATTCTATACTCTTGAAAACACTTCACAAGAAGAATGTGACAATAATCATGTTCCAATCATAGTCTGTTGAGCCTATAGACGCTGGGACGCTAAGGCAGAAGCTTCAGAAGAAGGGCTCCATAATCAGGAGCATATGAAAATTCTTATAGTCTAGGGTCATTAAGGTCCTAAGGATACATATGGGAGTTTCCGAAAACAGGGGACCCTGATGTAGTACCCTAAATAGTAGGATCCTCATTATAAGGACCCCCAAGATAAGGTACCCCTAATTTTCGGAAGCTTCCGTTTAGCCAAGATACCCAACAGGACAGGGTTCGCAGACTCCTCGTGCTGCGTCGAAGCCCGAGCCCGGCCCGCACTCACATATCCAAGGGGTCTCCTGCTGCTGCGGCTGATGAAAAAAATCCTGCATTACCTTAAGGACCCTAAATTATGGGAATTATGGTATATTCCTTATTATGGGTAATGCAGGATTTATATCATCAACCGTGCTGCTCCAATTCCTATTCCAACCTTAACCCAGCGTAACCTACCTTTTTAAGGACTTATATAAAGAAATCATATTAAGGAACCCTAAAAAGGTAGGTTCCTGAGGGTCCAGGAAATCCTATTCCTATTTCTATTACCATTCCTAGTACTATTACTATTACTCTTGCTATTGCTATTCCTGTTCCTACTACTACTACTACTACTACTACTACTACCACTACTACTACTACTACTACTACTACTACTACTACTACTGCTACTGCTACTACTACTCCTACTCCTACTCCTACTCCTACTCCTACTCCTACTCCTACTCCTACTCCTACTCCTACTCCTACTCCTACTCCTAGTCCTACTCCTACTCCTACTCCTACTCCTACTCCTACTACTACTACTACTACTGCTACTACTACTACTACTACTACTACTACTATTCCTATTCCTATTCCTATTCCTATTCCTATTCCTATTCCTATTCCTATTCCTATTCCTATTCCTATTCCTATTCCTATTCCATTCCTATTCCTATTCCTATTCCTATTCCTATTCCTATTACTATTACTATTACTATCCCTATTGCTATTACTATTCCTACTACTATGATTCCTATTCCTATTACTATTACCATTATTAATACTATTCCTAAAACTATTACTATCACTGTCATTATTACTATTACTATCACTTTCAGCATCACTAGTACCATTACTATTACTATTATGCTGTTGCTACTGCTGCTACTACTGCGACCACTACTACTACCACCACTAAGCCGCCAGCACCACCACCACCACCACTACCACGACTACTGCTTGTTCTACTACTACCACTACTACTACTACTAATAATAACAATAATAAATAATAATAATGATAATGATAATAAGAAGAATAAGAATAAGAAAAAGAATAAGAATAAGACTAAGACTAAGAATAAGAACAAGAACAAGAACAAGAACAAGAACAAGGACAAGAATAAGAATAAGAATAAGAATAAGAATAAGAATAAGAATAAGAGTAATAATAATAATAATCGTAATAATAATAGTAATAATAATAATAGTAATAGTAATAGCAATAAAAATAAGAATGATAATAATAATAACAATAATTATAACAATACTAATAATAATAATACTAACAATAATAATAATAACAATAATAATAGTAATAACAATAATAATAACAATACTAATAATACTGATAATAAAAATAAAATAAAATAATAATAATAATCATAATCATAATCATAATAATAATCATAATCATAATAAGAACAAGAATAAGAATAAGAATAAGAATAAGAATAAGAATAAGAGTAATAACAATAATAACAATAATAATAATAATAACAATAACAATAATAATTGCCACTACACCACGCTGCTGCCAATAACAAGATGAGTAGTGCTGGCACGAATAGTGTGGAGTCTCCGGATTCGTGTTGACGAAGTCCGACAGACACGTGCAAGATGTGACCGAGGTCGCCTGAGACTCTGTCCATACCAGGAGAAAATCAGAATGCAATGACACCGGAAGAACTCTAGCAAGGCTACAATGTTGCAAAATTTTGCACCGACTTCAGAAAGAGCCACGCCCTTCTGCGCGGTCGTGGAGCCGTAGGGGCAAATGGAGCAAGCGCCGTCGTCCCAGTAGCGTCCGACATCGCAGACGCAGTGCGAAAGCTCGCCTTGGCAGAGCCCAGGTATGCTACAATCACATGCCTATTTATTTAGGGTTTAGGGGAAATTCATTTAAGGTCAAGTAACAACATGTAATCAAATAACTACTAGCTACAGCCCGGTATTAAACACACAGCATGCCCCTTTCTCAGTGGTCGACTGGAGCCGATCGGGGCTGTGCTGAAAGGCGGGCAGCTTCTCAACGGCTCACCTTTCGGAGAAGACAGAACAAGTCTTAAACAGGAACTTGTGCTCAACAAATGGCAATGAGAGCAGTGATGGTAACAATAAGAATAGGACATGACCTTATTACTATTATTATTATTATTATGATTATGATTATTATTAGTATTATAATTATTATTATTAGTATTTCAGCAGGCGATACCAGCCTCCCGGGCAGTACTGGTCTGCGGGGCAAAGATGGCACGTGCTCTCGAGCTCGTATTGCCCCGGCGGGCATAGGATGTGAAGGCGCAGTGCCGTTGCTTGGAAGTCCTTTTGGATGATAATCAGAATGGTCATGCCACGAATTATCAGAAAACGATGATGAAAACGAGCTGTTACTACGGATCACAAGAAGAACGACAGTAACCAAACCAACAATGACAAGCCAAAACCGAGCAAGCGCATCCTCGGCGGAGTCGCAGGACTGGCTGAAAGGGCACCAGCAAAGCTCCACAACTTCTGGTGTTCCAGCCGAGTCGATCATTCCCACATCCAGGAGCAAAGCATTGGCAGATTCGTGTATGGTGATAACCAAGCTATACGGTGATGCAAGCCCATTTTGGCAGTCATTCTGCACGATCAGGGAATCGTTGGTAGAGATGCCGACGCCCGCCCAGATGGGGACGGTGCACCGCCAGCCAATGTAGCAGACAGCAGACTGGTTGGTGTAAGGCCCTTCCGCGATGAAGCGGCCAACGGGGAGCGTATGAACTTGTGCTGGGGTGCAGTCTGGACCCTGGCAGGAGCATAGTTGGTAGCTGCCCGGCTCCACAAACCAGCGCCTGCCATCCAAAGCTGGCAAGCCATGGGAGTCTTGGCAGTTTGCCTTCACATCCAGATTGCCAATGCTCAGGTTGCCAGCACCTGTGGTAGCTTCTGGGAAGCAAGGCTGGCCCAGCTGGCAGCGCAGAGTGGGAGTGGGAGCTGTAGGCTTCATGACGTACCTCCAGGTGTCACCGAGGTAGGAGCCGTTGAAGCCGCCGAAGAACAGCAACGCTGGGGAGGCGGCGTCAAAGACCATGGCTTGCCGAAGTTCGCTCCGCGCGGAGGGGCCCTTAGGCCGTAAATCATCGGAATCGTTGGGAGCTCCAAGCTCGGTCCAAGAGAGTGTCAAAAGGCTGAAGCGGAAGAGGCCGTCGCTGAAGCCCAGCGTGCCGCTTCGGTTCTGCACTCCTCCGAGAACATGGAGGCTGGCGGAGTCTGGGTCCCAAGCCGCGGCGTGCCCAGCTCGTGGCCACGGCACAGTGCCGGTCGCTGTGATCTCGGCCCAACTGTCGGAGTTGGCATCATAGCGGTGCAGATTTGAGAGGTACCTTTGCCCGTCCCAGCCCCCGAAGACTAGCATGCTTCGGGTAGCAGCATCCCACGAGGCTGTGTGCTTGCTGCGTGGCCCGAAGCCAGTGGTCAAAGGCCACCATGTTCGGCTCACGAAGCTGAAGTAGTGGAGCTCTGCCAGGATGTTTCCCCCGCACTGGGCCCCACACTCTCCACCGAAGGCCAGCATGGCTCGACGTAGCGGGTCCCATACCGCAGTGTGGTAGACACGTGGCCCGGGCCCTTCGCTCGAAAGTGTCCACCGGTTGCGGGTGCTTTCGTAGGCCCACACTTCGCTGTAGGTTTCGCTCAGGTAAGTGCCCCCCAAGATCAGCATGGTGCGTGACACGACATCCCAAACAGCGCTGTGGCCGAACCTAAGCGACGGACTTGGCAACTCTGGCTGCAGCTCGGCCCAGCTTCGCGAAGGCCAGTGGAACTGCCAAAGGTCATTGAAGTACCGGAAGGTGTTCCCCGCCTGGCCTCCGAACATCAGAGAAGACTGGGTGTCCGGGTCCCAGACCATGCTGTGGTCTTGGCGCGGCCCGGGGCCCGTTGCCGTCGTGTACTCGCCCCAGGCATCCAGCTGGCACCGCACGCCTCCGCTGAGCACAAAAACCACAAAATTAACACCCCACAAAACCGCTCTGAATCTCCATTCCCAGCTCTCAGAAATGGTCGGAGCAACGCGTTGCGACAGCGGGCCTACAGCTTCCCGAGCAGAGCAGTCGTGGACGTGCCAACCTCGCATGTGGGGAACCGAACTCAAGGCTTCTCCCCACTGTCATGAGCGAACCCCGATCTCTCATCCTCTCTCCATCCGGCTGCTCTCCGGTTCTCCTCTGCCTCGGAAGCTACAGTCTCGCAGGAAGACTTCCGCGCCCTCACACACGAGGCTCTCGGCCACGATCTCAAAGGCTGCAAGCGTCTCGTCCAGCGAAGGGTCGGAGGCGGGGTCCCTGAACAAGGCTCGTCCGCCTGCCATGCCAATATCCCGGCAGGCCACCTGGGCTGGTCTCACCGTCTGCTGTATCCGGCTTGAAGACAGTGAAGCGCTTTTTGGTTGATCTGTTCCATTGTTATCTGTAGCATGCAAGCAGTTGTGCTGATCTGTTCTTTTGCTATCTCTGGCATGACGGCAATGGAATGATGTTACTTAGTTTCAGCTCTCTGCAGCATGGAAGGAGCTCCATAATGTCGTGTTATCTGTTCGCGTGCAGTCTCTAGCATGCAAGCATCACTTAATGTTGGTGTTGTGTTTTGCGGTCTCTGGCATGAAGTTAACAAAGCGGCCCTGTTCTGATCTGTTCGTCTGCTCTCTGTAGCATGAGAGCAATGATTGTCTCTAGCATGAAAGCTGCGAAGTGTGCTTCACGACATGTCCTGTCAGCCCACCTGCGCTGTGGCATCCGTGAAACCGTCGTCGCAGACCAGCCCAAGAGAGCCATTATGCTGGAGCAGCAACCAGCCCCCGCTTGAGCCTTCGCTTATACTTACACCGCCTTGGCCGGCATCAGGCTTTTCTTTTTCAAAGAGCTCAGTGGGCACGAGGGCTCTTCCCATCTCGCCCGGCTCATCACCCACGTTTTCGGTGTTCCCAATGCCAAGCTGGCCATCGCTGTTGAGGCCCCAGCAGCGTGCGGTCTCATCCTCCAGTCGCACGCAGGTGTGTCGGAAACCCACGATGACCTGACCACACAGCATCGCAGAAACGGAATACAGGGCAAAAACAACTCCGAGAATCTTGCAAGCTATTCGAAGCAGTTGTGGAGTGAAGCAGCGGATACAGTAATTAGGAAGATAGCGGGATGAGCACCCAAATCGAGTCCCTTGTGAAACGACCCAGATATTCCCCAACGCCCTCTTTGTCCGCTCCAGTCTTGACCAGTGAACTTGAGGCTAGATCACATCATCGTCGTGATTGGTCGTGCAACGACATGGAGATTCTTAGGCCCACAGAGGACCCAGGTAAGTTTCTTAGGTATGTTTACATGTGTATACAGACATTATGGTTTGTATATACAAACATTAATTATAGGCATCTCACGTGTATGCACCTCGTGTACTCCGAGATTGTTCAGGTCGACGGGGCGCAGGGCATCGCCCATGTGTTCCGGCTTGCTGCCCAGGTTCTCAATGCTTCCGTGTCCGAGCCTCATCAGGCGTGCGGAGGTCTTTAACATAGGGGCCTTGAGGGGGCCCATGATGCTATAACTACAATAAGGCGGCACCCCCAAGCCAAAAATGGTGCAGGTAAAGGTCCCTTACAATCTGCACTGAGGTCATGGCTGTCCATCTGAATTTCGGCCCCAGCACTTCAGGGTCTCGTCCTGCAGGATGACACAGGTGTGCTGGACGCCTGCTACCACCTTCATGACGGACACTCCGCTGCCCAGCAGAGTCGTGGGGAGGTTTGCGTCCACCAGAGGCTGTACAGAGTCGGTGGTACCGTGGCCCAGCTGGCCGTTGTTCTCGTCCTCCCCCCAGCACTTTAAAGAGCGATCCGCCAGCACCTGCAGCTTCCAGTTGCAAGCTCGAGCAATGGGCTTACAGCGCAGGATGATGCGGGATAGTACTGGGGCGGTGCATGCAAGTGGCTGCGCAGGCGTGGTGCCAGGCTGCAGAGATCTGCAGAACATCGAGGCCGAAATTCAAAAAGGGCAACTGGTCGCCCATTTCGTTGGGCGAAAGCCCCACACCGACATTTCGGCTTGAGAAGTTCATGCCGACGACGGGACCAAGGCCCCAGCACTTGACCTTGCCCTGGCTTGACAATGCACAGCTCGCACGGTCCGACACCGTGATCTGCACGGCGTGGAAGTCGGTGCCGAGGTCGACGAAGGGAAGCCTATCGCCCATGTGCTCCTGGCTCACGCCGCGACTAATCCTTAGCGTGCCCGCAGGGTCCAGGGATGTCAAGATATGTCAAGGAATGGCTACAATCTGCACTTGCCTGCGCCGGGTACAACTGAGGCATGCACGAGTCCCCGTAGCCGAGGCTCCATCCGCGTCCCCAGCACTTCACGGAGCCACCGCGCAACAACGCGCAAACATGATAAGTCTCGACAGCGACCTGGAGCGCGAAGGCTCCCGTCCCCAAGTCCACCGTGGGCAGATGTATTCCCATCTCCATTGGGTCGTCGCCAATGTCTACTCCGGACACCCCCCCCAGCACGCCACGGGTTCCTGGGTCCCCTCCCCAGCAGCTCAAAGCCCCGCCATCGAAAACGGCGCAACAGTTTTCGTCGCCACAACCCACTTGCATTGGGATTTGGCCACCCAGATCCACGAAGGGAAGGTTGACGCCCATCTCCCCGGGCTCGTCACCCATCGTGTTTCTGTCACCAGAGCCAATGCGGCCACCACGTCCCCAACACTTCATGCCACGTGTGAAGTGAACGGCACAGTTGTGGGCGCGGCTTGAATACAGTGAGAAGGGAACTGGAGGCAAAGGACCTGCGGATGGTCTCTGAAGATTCTCCTTTTCGCATGTCCAAATCCTGCCTAGTTTGCTTTTTGAAACACATCCGACATTGCCCTACATTGTACATCCTACCGTACTTGTTCAAGGCTTTGGCATGCGTGAGTGATGCATGAACGCTCCAGCTGAACGAAAAACATAGCAGATGTGTTCACTTGAGAGTGCGGCCGTAAACTAATCACGTAGGTGGCCTGGCATAAAGCGCAACTCTTCTGACATACGGCAAAAGGAACCGAAAGGCTTTGGAAGCCTGGCGCCTGAACCTGCGGGTGCCCAGGCGACCAGGGAGTCCAAGGCAAAAATGCCATCTGGCCAACCATCGGATCTGCACACGAACCGCAGCATCTCCGTGCCCGCGGGCAGGGTGACCTTGCCTCAGAGGGACATGTAGGGGGGGTAAGGGGGAGGGGGGTAATTACGGAATATTAAATAGGGAACTATACTTCCTTAAATCCTTATTATGGGCTTTACACATCTTTAAATCCTATACGCCCTCAAGCGATATGCTAGGTACTTACAACAATGGCATGGTGGCATACTCACATGCATATATTCCGTTGCCCATTCTGTCTCACGTGGCTCAAGACACCATAGCTCTCTCTGCGTAGCAGTGAAAACAGCCTGCTGTCCGTGCAAACGCAAGTCATTAGGTCACTAAGGGCTTAGCAGAACCCAGATACTCCTTCAGGAGTGGGGAATACCTATGTGAGGGCAGTTTTCTGGTAGGAAGGGCCCGTGTTGGGCTCGGCCCCCGATATACAACCACAGCGGTTAGCTCCGGCTACTCGCTTCCCAGGGCGGGCCAAGGTTGCACAATGTCATCTTCCCACAACAGTGGAGATGACGGCAGCAACAACTCCTCCGGAGGAGACTCTGAAGACGAGCCCTCTCAAGGACCAGCGTCGTATGCTGCCCAATCCTATGCATCATCTGACAAGATGCTCAGCCATCTAGGCATTACGCCCAAGATTGCGCCAGCCTACGACGCACCACCTCGTGGTTTGAGTACGAACAATTGGTTGATGTTTGGTGCGACATTACGCTGCACGAAGAGAAAAAGACGGTCGCTCAAGACGAGGCTCTCCGGAATCGCGACAATACAAAAGGGAGCTTTAGATAGAATCAAGTGCCTCCAAAGATGGAGTAGAATATTTAAGAAAATGCGGCAATTCCTTGTCAAGGGAGAATAATATGTGTTCCTTTGACGATTTCTCGGTCCCTTCAAAGCGTGGAAGGGCAGACAAGATTTGGTGCCGTGGATTGCCAAGTTTGAAATCGTCCTTCAGCGACTTCGCAACTCATGGATGGACCTCTTACCAGAGGTAACTCTGGAAGATGATGATCCCGAGTTTCTCGCTGCCTTGGGACGAGATCAAACGTTCACGTCACTACGTGATGCGACCGAGGAGTCGACCTATGCAATGAAGCAGTTTCCTGCATGTATCAATTTGCGACGAAGTCTGCATTCGGCTTTGTTCTCACAAGAAGGACCGCCGTGGAAGAAGGGATCAGCGCCGCAGGGTGGAGGCCGCAATTTCATTGTCCTTGACCAAGGAGAATACGATGGAGCCGATGGCTTCTGGCTGCAAGATGAGGATACCTTAGATGAAGGTTTCCTCGCCAACGAGGAAGAGACCACCTTTTGGATGATCGACGACAACGAGGCCTCTATTGCAAGGAGATTCAAATAAGGAAGACGACCTAGACCTAGAATGCGTCCGGGTTCACCGGGAAGAGCAAAAGGAGGTAAGCGAAAACCAAGAGGCCGCTTCAGGTCAACCAAGCGGAAGTATATGAACGAACCGATTCCGGCTACTACGGTAAAGGAAAAGGTATAAGGACAAGGGTGGTAAAGGCAAAGGAGACTTTGGTTCACCGTCTCAATTTAGCTTGGTTTAAACATATGTAACAAACATACACCGCTCTCTGGCCCGAGCCAGAAGCTTGCACCGACCAGTGAACTCGCACGTCGCCAGCCGCTCACCCCACGGGGGAATGCAGCCGACGCAAGACAACGGTCACAAGTCATGCATGTGATCCGAGGGTCAGGCCACAACACCACCCCCTCGGAACTTGCAAGACCAAGCCCGGCTCGCGACTGTCTCAACGTCCAGCAATCACATGACCAAACCCGGCTCGCGACTGTCTCAACCTCCAGCAATCACTCACCTGGTGGACTCACAGAGGCAAGCCTCTTGGAATCGCCACGAAGGGAAAGGACCACTGGGGAACTGTGACTCCACGGAGGCCTCTTTCGCTCTTGCCGTTGAAGGTCTATCTGCGAAAACAAAATCTGCAGGGCAAATCGTTTTGCCCCAGAGAATCGTTGTTAAGCCTAAAATGTCGGGAACCCACCTTTCGCCCACAGGAAAAAAGATTCTTAAAGTGGACTCTAGGTGCAAGGTGGGCTACCTTCGCGGAATGGTGCCTCCAAAGGTCAGGCCCTACAAGAACAACGAGGCCCTGCGCAACCAATGCACAATCGGTTGCCCGTCGTCCTCGTCCCCTTGTCCGACTCATTCGAGGATTCTCCCGGGGAGACAGACTCACTGTCCACCGCAATCACATCAACACACTCTCCCGGTTCACCAGGCTCAGTCTCCCACTCTTGTGATCGGGGTGCTGCCGAAGACTCCTGATCGGCCGCATGCTCTCCAACCCCGCCAACCTCGGCACCAAACTGCTCACCAAAGGCTGAGCGCGCTCTGCCACCAGACGACCACTCCTGGTGTCATCTGGACGGAAGGCGCCGTCAGCAAAGGGGCCTGAGCATCACGGCTACACACAAGATCCATGCCTCCGGCAGTGTGATACCCCAATGTGTGTAGAGTAAGGGGGTCAACACCCCGCTTCGCCGCCCAAGAAATCAGTGTTGCCTTCAATAGAGAGCGAAGAGCCCCCGACGAGCTTTCGCCAACGTGCAACAGCAGCCTATGCCAAGCCGTGGCCCCGTCCGTGTCAAGGGCTCTGACCATAGGTTTTCCTTGAGCATCTGAGCCGGCATGAAGGACACTTGATCCATTCTGCAAGCCCTCCAAAGCTCACCGTAAGGCCTAAGCCCAAGCGAGGGCGCCACTGCGTGCAAGTATTTGGGACGCTTGCTCTGCAGTCGGCAAGTCTTGTGCACACCTATCCGCAAGTCGATATAACAAAGGCCGGACTCAAACCCTACATCCCGGTTACATCGCTCCACCTACACCTGCTGTATGCACACACCAAGGCGGCGCCTGCAAACGCTCTGGTCCACACATCTGGATGAAACTCCAAAGCATCATGAAGCATCTGCAACTGGTGCACTGTCAAGGGTGGTGCCTGATTCGATTCCTTAAAAAACTCCGAAGTGCATAGACCCCTTGCAACGGCGACTGTTGCAAACCTCCGTCAGCTCAGACACCCCCACAACATGTAGCGCGAAATTGAGCGCCTAATGACAAGCGACTAGTGGGTGCCCCGTCTCGCTGAAGTGACTCTAAGAAATTGTATACATGCGAATCTGCACACGGGAAGGGTGCTCCCTTGCCCATGACAAAAGCATGCAACAAGACCAAAGTTCTTGCCCGTTTCAAGAAACTGGACGGGGCTTTCCCTGTCTTATCAAGGGTGGTATCTCGCTCAAAGTCAAAGGTAGGTCAGTATAAAGCTCTCTTTCGGAATATTATACGGAGACGTACCTCCGATATAATTTATGGAAATTTTCGGTCCAATCCAAAGATATGCCGAAACGAGAGGCCCAATGTTTCAATTTCAACTCGGGTGGCTGGAATCGCGCTGTGCGTTGCGACGGCTAGGGTTAGGCCCGAACCGTGCAACGAACGCTACTCCCGACAACGTCGGGCCCACCCCATAGGGGGGGACAGTAAGAAACCGCAGGGAGCGGTGGGTGGGTAAAAATTTTGTTCATGTCCTGATTGAACATGTCAGCATGTTTCCATGGAACATGCTCCCACCTGTTGTGATGTTAACTACCTTGAGGGGCGAGCGCGGAGTACAATACTCTAAGCTCCATTCTCAACATCACAAGCATTCCGATCATGCAAACCAGATCATGCATGAAACAATGAAATGCTGGAAAACAATATCACTTGCGTAAAAACGCGTTGCAGAAAGAGAGCATTATCCCCTGAAGCCCGCAGGCTCCGATTGAGCATCGATACGGTCAGCCCAGGCTGCCGGACTACCCCCCTCAAAAGACAAAGCCAGCATAAAAATGCACGCTATCGTCTTATCAAGGGTGGTATCTCGCTCAAAGTCAAAGGTAGGTCAGTATAAATCCTTAACCCTTTGCGCCGAACCAGAACCACAGGGTTTAGATCAACAAGGCTTATATGAAAGGAACCCAAAATCTCATTTTTGTATGTGGTTGGCTTTATTTGTGTTTAAAAGTGTTTTTTGTATTCAAAAGTATTGTTTTGTATTTAAAAGTTTTTTAAATAGGTTTTTTTGTGTTTTACAGTTGTTAAAATTCTTTTATTTTATTTTTGGTGTAAAAAAATACATGTTTGTGAATTTTGTTTCTGAGTGAGTCAATTGGCTTCCTGTTGTTCTACCTGGTTTCCTGCTGCTGTATGTCTACAAAATTGTTGTTTATTTGTTGTTGAAGTTAATAATTTTTAATATTTAATCTTTTTAAATAGTTTTGGGTTGTGATTGAACAAAGAAGGGAGGCCGTAGTGACATGTTGACTTGCCTTGAGATCTTGCCCTTACCCACGCGGATCGACTGCCCTTCTCGGTTCGTGGGCACCGTTGGCCGGGTGTCAGGTGTTGAGTCGATGGTACCTGGACCGCCTTGGGGCCAACGTGCCAGGGCAGTGGCATATGACACCCGGGCACATGGGCTAAAGTGCCGGGTGGGGTGGTCCAGTGGGTGTTGTTCGCAATCTGCTTACAGCCCTGAAGGGGAGGCCATCCATGCTTGTCACGTTAGTGAGCCTTGCGACTTGGAGCGACAGAGGCAGAGTGCCACCTTACCCACACGGATCGACTGCCCATCTCGGTTCGTGGACACCGTTGGCCGGGTGTCAGGTGTTGTCGATGGTACCTGGACCGCCTTGGGGCCAACGTGCCAGGGCAGTGGCATATGACACCCGGGCACATGGGCTAAAGTGCCGGGTGGGGTGGTCCAGTGGTTGTGGCTTTTTTATTTTTCTCCCAACCAGGAGGGGAGGCCATCCATGCTTGTCACGTTAGTTAGGGAGCCTTGCGACTTGGATCGACAGAGGCAGAGTGCCAGTCGAGCCTCTCGAGGTTGCCTTACTTAAGTCCCTGCCCCATCGGGGTTGCTCCCCACACCGTTGGCCAGGTCTAAGTGTTCGGTTTGAATCCAAGCCTAGTGAACGCCTTCTCTTCCATTTCCTTCTCTCCCATCGGTCTTCATCGGCTTCCAGCCCATCGAGAAGTGGATGCCAACTGCTGGGATCTCAGCATCAGCTTGCTTCAGCTACTTCCATTATTATGGTACAGTCCTGGCACCGAGGCTCATGACGAGGATCCTGAGGACATGCTGCCATCGCAGAGGACAAGCTGCCTTGCATAGTCAGTGAGCGTGTCATGTATCGCAACTTGCCGCTGCAGCAGTTGTGCTCGCTGTTGCCCTGCGTAATCTACTATAGTCGTGTTACAGCTGCTCTGTCTCAAGTCTAAGTCGTAGTAGGCCCCCCTGCAAGCCGGCAGATGTCGTCGACGTCGTGGAGTGACAGTGAGTCTCTGGGCTCGGACTGGGTTCTGGTTGACGATGAGGGTGCAAGCACTGCGGGCTCGGTCGCGGACAGTTTTGACGACGATGATTCTGTGATTCCGTTCGACACGATGCTAGAGGAGTGCTTTACGACATTCTGGATGTTTCTGAATTCTCAAGAGCGTGGGCAAGTCTTGCAAGTAGCCTGGTCTGTCAATGAGCAGATCATGTTCACACTCTTTCCGAGACTTCGGCGGGATTTTCGGCAAGGCAGAGTGCCAGGAATTTTATATTACAATGTGTCAGACGAATTTCTGGCGTTACTGCTTCAATGATTTGTCGTGTTTGTACAGCCTCCGAGACCGTATTACGGATGTTGGGGAAGGCAGAGTGCCGGGTTTGCGTGTGTTTAGAGGATTTTGAATTCGACGATCTCGCCAGCAGAGCTAGACTGTCCGATTTGAGACCTCAGCGGTAGTGTGCGCAACTTGGATTCAAAACGGTTACCCAGCATGACATGCTGACTACACAGTGCCGGGTGGCAGTGATGTCCTCAGGACCCTGCTGTCTCCGAGGCTGGCTGCCTGCCTGCCTGCCTGCATAGTCTGTCAGTGAGTTGCCTTGCACCATACATGATCGACATCTGTCTGCCGGCCAGGGAATCAAGTGATTCATTCATACTGATGTAACAGTAGTAACACAATGTTACATATCATTGATTAATGTACTGTATAGTGATGCATTAGTCACTGTTAATGTTTTAATCTTTGGACAATTGAAGTGTGCTCGATGAAAGCAGTGATCCCGACGACCTGCTCTGTCTCTAGTCTAAGTCGTAGTAGGCCTCCGTGCAAGCCGGCAGATGTGGTCGATGTCGTGGAGTGACAGTGAGTCTCTGGGCTCGGTCTCGGACTTATTGGCTGTTGGCGAGTTTGCAAGCACTGCGGCGTTTGGGGGTTCGTTTGTGGGCTCGGTCGCGGACAGTTTTGACGACGATGATTATGTGATTTATTTCGACGAGCTGCTAGAGGAGTCCTTTTCGACATTGTGGATGTTTCTGAATTCTGAAGAGCGTGGGCAAGTCTTGCAAGTAGACTGGCATATCAATGACATGATCCTGTGCGTACTCGTTCCGAGATTTGTGCGGCAAGGCAGAGTGCCAGGAATTTTACATTACAATGTGTCAGACGAATTTGTGTCGTCACTGAATCAATGATTTGTCGTGTTTGTACAGCCTCCGAGACCGTATTACGGATGTTGGGGAAGGCAGAGTGCCGGGTTTGCGTGTGCTTAGAGGATTTTGAATTCGACGATCTCGCCAGCAGAGCTAGACTGTCCGATTTGAGACCTCAGCGGTAGTGTGCGCAACTTGGATTCAAAAAGGTTACCCAGCATGACATGCTGACTACACAGTGCCGGGTGGCAGTGATGTCCTCAGGACCCTGCTGTCTCCGAGGCTGGCTGCCTGCCTGCCTGCCTGCATAGTCTGTCAGTGAGTTGCCTTGCACCATACATGATCGACATCTGCCGGCCAGGGAATCAAGTGATTCATTCATACTGATGTAACAGTAGTAACACAATGTTACATATCATTGGTTAATGTACTGTATAGTGATGCATTAGTCACTGTTAATGTTTTAATCGTTGGACAATTGGGTGCTCGATGAAAGCAGTGATGCCGACGACCGTTTCAAGGTGCTCAGGGAGTTCCGAGGCAGAGTGCCAGACTTCTGCTGCTGACCATCAGAATCAGGCCAATCACATTGACCTTGGCAGTGATTACTGGAACGAAGCCGTGCAACAACTTCGGTGGAATTGTTTACACTGTGGCAGATCAGCTGCCGACTATACCACCGGGCTCCGAAAGATCCAAAGGGCTGCACAATTGGATCAACGAATCAAATTGGCAGTTGAGGCCATCTCAGATTTCGGAGATATGGATATGAAGTTGTACAAAGCATGGACCGGCCAGACAGATGTGCTGCCTGGGTCGATCCCGCCACCTCGGCCATGCCAGCATGATGTCGAGACGTGGCCCATGGATGATGTTTTGATTTACGACCATCCCCAGTGGCAACTGTTTGTTGGCAGTATTGGTTGCCCGATCCGATATGACCAG